CACTGAAGGCCGGGAGGAGACCCCCCTTCGCCTCAGCCAGGCCTTTCCCCTGCCTCACCCCCTGCACAGTGGTGGATCGGCGTCCCTGGTCTCTGCTGAGGGTGTCGCCTTGATACGCTGTGCTTGGTGGCAGCTGCCAGCTTGAGCATGGTGCACGACTCTGCCTACTGTTGTCTGACCAGCATCGCCAAGAATTGCAGGGCATTCTCAGCCCCTTGTCTGCCCAGGGCGTCTGTGACCAGGCACTTTCCCTGGCTCCATCCATCGACTCCTCATAGCCCCCACCCAGCAGGGCCGCCTCCCTCTGCCCGCGCTGACAGAAGGAGAAGAAATGAGGTTCAGGTCATGTTAGCGAAGTCAAGGAGCCTTGGGTCCGACAAGCCTGGCTTCGCCTGGTTGTCGCAGGGCTCTTTCCAGGTAGAAAATTCCCTGTGTACGCATCTCTGAATATTCATCAAGCGTGAGCAGCAATTACAGTCCAGGCACAGCCCCCACCCAACAATGTCCAAAAACACTAGAAAGCTGCTGGCTGATTGGGAAGTGGTCTCGTTAGGCTGCAATCTGCATGGCCTGCCTACCTGAACATTTAAAAAATACGGGTTTTTTTTGTTTTTCCCATTAATGAAAAGTTAATGATGCCGCTCATCTAGAAGCAGTGCTAGAGAGTGGCTTTGTGGATGTTTGCTTCGGACAGGAGGAGATCTGTCCCCTCCTGACTGAATGTGACTCATCCTAAATGAGTGAACGTTGGGGGGCTGGCGCAAGGCCCCTGTGTTCGTCTCTAGGGGAGGACGGCCTTCTACTCTCCAGGAAGGAAACAAGTCCTGTGTTCCCCAAGTTGGCTGAGCTCTGTTTAACCGCCCATCTCGTCTTCCTCCGGGCGGGTGAGCCTTAATGTGTAAGAAAGAACAGAATGAGAGCTTTTGTGCCAGACAGCAGGAGGTGCGTGGGGCGCGTGCTGGGGAAGGGGAAGGGACACTGGTCGTTCTCCAGGCTGGACCAGGAGCCATGCCTGCGGTGCCTGAGCTTACTGCGTCCTCGAAAGTCTCCCCTATAACCGGGTCTGGGGAACATTTGATGTCAGGAGGCCACTGGAACAACACCTGGGCACCCTGCCGCTTGCCCAGAAGCCAGCGAAACATCTAGGCCCAGAGGAGGAGTAGGTTCCCCAGAACACAGAGTGTCTCCGCAGTGGTGAGAATGCAGCTACCAGGGCTGACACATCAGACCTGGCTCAACACGGCAGGACAGCACAAGGCCAGCACCTGGTCAGCAGGCGGGAGGGGTGGGCCGGATCCCATTTCCCATCCTGGAGGCCAGACAACAATATTAGCGCCACCTAAGCACGGAACGCCACAGTCTGCAAACACAGAAAAGCTCACAGAATCCCACGCGCATCTCTCATCCAGGAGGCCGCTAGTAGAGCGCGCGCCTCTCCGCTCCGGGCCTCCCTGAAGAGCGGGGGTGGTGCAGGTCTCCCCGCCAGCACAGGCTGCAGCACCCACTTGCAAATGCAGCTTTGTGCCGGAAAGTTCCACCTGAGAGAAAGTCTGAGGCCCTCACCACTCAGCGAACCCAGTGAGAGGCGCCTCACCACCTTTCTCTGTTCCCTAGTTGGCACATTTTGCCGCACCTGAAACTGTATACCCACGAGGATGTTGAAATTGAAGCATGGCATACTGAAAGAAGGGCTTACTGGTGTCGATGGGTACGTCTGGTGTCAGCAGAGCATCGGTGGAAGGTGGTGGCTGGCGGGGTGTTCTAGGCCCCTGGCTCAGGGGTGAGCCGGCACATGCCTTCCCGCCACCCCCTGCTGCAGCCCTAAGTGGGAGAAACGGCTTCTGTTGGCCCACAGACAGTGGGGAAATCAGTGTCTCTTGCTTGCGCTGCCTTTCCACGGTTCCCTAGTAAACCGGCATCCCAACTCCTGGAGGCCAGCTGATGGCCTGCGACTGAATTTGCGTGTGTATGTGAGGATCACA